TTTAATGCCATCATTGACGTCATCACCTCAAATTACACACCGAAATCTCCATGAGATTGAGATTGTCTGTATTGAACAAGATGATCCCATGGACCTCTTTCTTCCAATTCTGAGGAAAATTGTTATGAAGGTGGCACTTGATCCCATAAACTTTCTTCCCACGTCGTTTGATTATCCATCAATGATTGATATGCATCATATCCACCATAACTTTCTTGCAATGGATAATAATTGGCAGAAGCAAGATGAATATGTTGATGAAGATGATGATTTTTTTTTCAATATTTTGCCTTCATTATTTCCCATTATGACCGTTCCTCCGGCGTTGTCAAGTATGGTTTCCCATTTGCTTTATAGTTTTGGAGGTAGGGAGAAACATTGAAATCAAAATCTTCGGGTAGTAGCTCGGAACAATTAGGCAAATGTAAATGTTTATTTTTCCATTGATGTATGAATATAACATGTTTCCTCGGCTAATCTTCGCTATGATTCCCACACGCATCTATTTTATACAAATCGTCCATGTTAAATATGGACATTTCTATCGGTTGGTGAAACCCAAATTGTCACAAAACTCTATCGGCGACATGGATCTCAACAATTGCGAAATGGAGCAATGGTGTTATGGCACAACATGTCTCCACTCCTTCAAAGAACATTGGCCGTAGACACCGTTGGATATTCGACTCATAATAAAACATACAATTAAACTGTCAAAAGTATTATGTTAGTATAATTAAACAACTAATATTAAAATTTCAAAGTTAATGCAAAAAATACTAAAATTTATCGCATGTCTATCGGCGATATCAATCTTCATCCGAATATCTACTTTGGTTACACCTGACAACTTTGTATCAGTTATTTGGTGTCTTCATCTAAAAAAATTACATTATTTATTGTCACTTTCAAAATATTTAAATAAATATTATAAATATAAAAACTTTAAATATAGGAATTTACCTTGTGGCGAGAGAAAACTCCATAGGAGCGGATGTAATAGACGTCAAAAATGGGAGACGATACCACGTCCATGATTGGAGCAAAACTAAACAACCCGCTACATCCTCTTTTTTCCTCTAACCACTATGGTCACCTTGCAAAGTTCACGATACAAAAAGACCAAAATTGCAGAACCCCAAATATATTGGTGACAATCAAGGAAATCGTTCAATACTAGAAGATATTGGGTGCACCAAATTACCCGATTTATCCGGTAGCAAGATCCCTCCAATCAACGTCATAAGATATGCTCGAGCTGTATATATCACCTCTTGCTCCATTTATTGTTCATCTACTCTAAATTCTCTTTCCAACCATGCCATCTGTATCCTCAACCCATCAATAACATGGTTGGAGCCTCTTTTCCCATTAAATTTGAAATAACAACATCTCGCTAATAAGTGTTGCGAAGCACCAATGGCATACCATTAATCGGAATGCCAAGTTGATATGTGACATCTTCCAATGTTATCATCACTCACCACAAATAAAATGAAGCGTATACATTTCGGACCTCCAACGCTCAATCAACGCTGATATCAGTACCGACATCACCTTAAATCGACGAAGAAACATCGCTCCATAACTCTGGATTGTGAAAGATATATCACCATCCACTGATGTGGCTCTTCATTCGTCATTCCTCGATGACGAATGCCTCGTCCTTCTCGCTACAATTTGAAAATAAATTATTTAATACAATTACATAAATAATTATTATTAATACTATAATTTTGTCAAAACTAAAATGAAATAAAACAAATTAAATTTACAGTAGTCAACTTGGTCGACGAAATATGAACATCATCAAGATATAACATTTCTTCTCTTGAGGCCATTTTAACACAAAAGTTTTTACTCTCAATAGAATGTTTGATTTCAAGTGAAAAATCAATTCAACCTAAACCTCTATTTATACTACTCTACCCAATGGCTATAAACGACTGGTTTTCAAATTGAAAACAGCCGTTGAAACTCGTCACACCGATGTGACGAGTTTCATTGAATTTTAAAAAAAATATTGCCCGTTCAACAACGATCAATCCAACGGTCTAAATTTTCAAATTTCTAGCCATCGAAACTCGTAACCCCGGCGTGACGAGTTCCTTCACCATTAAAATAATATATATATATATATATATATATATATATATATATATATATATATATATATATATATATATATATATATATATATACATTAAACAATGTTTTTGCGTCAAACTTGGCTTATATATTGCTAATGTTTTATAAAAAATATAAATATATTACTCTGGTAATTATTATGGACTATTTAAAATAAAAAAAACAACACGACATTGTCTAAATTCATAAGTCTTAATGTAAAATTAAGTGTCCAAACTATACCTTAATTTAATTTTAAGTGTCTAAAGATTTTTTCATTAAAAATAGGTACCTAATATTTTCTCCGTGACACTTAGGGCTGTTCATTCGATTAATTCGGTGGTCGACCGAACCGAATAACCATTAACCGAACTTTTTTCGAAAATATTAACCGAACATAATAAATTTCGGTTAATTCGGTTAATTTTCGAATTAACCGAAAATTTTTAAATTTTCTAATTTATATAAAAATTAAATAATTTTTAATTCAAAAAAATAGTTTCTAATTAATTTAAATAATATATAATTATAAAATAAAAATTTTATATAAAGTTTTTAATTAATATTGATTTAGGTTTAAAAGTTATTGGATCTTAAATTATTAATTGGGTTTTAAATGGTTTGGGTTGAACCCATATGTTATATATAATATATTTAATATTTTTTAATTCAAAAAAATAGTTTACAATTAATTTAAATAATATATAATTATAAAATATAAATTTTATATAAAATTTTTAATTAATTAATATTGATTTAGGTTTAAAAGTTATTGTATCTTAAATTATTAATTGAGTTTTAAATGGTTTGGGCTGAGCCCATATGTTATATATAATATATTTAATAATTTGGTTAATTCAGTTAATTAACCGATTTCAAACCGAATTAACAGTTAACCAAATTCTAAAAATTTTCTTCACCGTTAACCGATCGAACTAATTTGGTTCGATCGGTTAACCGAATTAGTTCAAAATTTGAACACCCATAATGACACTTTTAGGTGCCTACGCAGTAACGACCGTTAAGTGATACATGCCATGTATAGATTTTTGCTTAATGTTAATATAAATGTCTGAACTATACCATAAGTTAACTTTAGGTGTTTAAAGAAATGTTCACTAAGAAATATTTAACTTAGGGTGAGAATGATAAATTTGGAATTAGTTTTAGGGATTTGAGTATTAGGTTTAGGGATTTAAGTTTGGATTTCTTGATTTAAGAGGATTAAGACCACAACAAGAGGGATAATCGACAATGGAGGACCGACGACTAGTGAGTGATAGGGGTGAGCAAAACTCGACTCGAAAATAGAATTTTTTTTTCAATTTCGAGTTACTCAAGTCGAGTTATTTGATTTATTCAAGTTAACTTGAATTATCAATTCATTTTTTGAGTTCGAATTGAGTTGAAATTTTAAAAATTTCGAGTTACTGAAAAATAATTGACTAATTATTTTGATAGTTTTATGATTTAGTCCATAGTTTCATTATTCCTTCAATTCCTCTTTCATGTTAAGTCATTTTTTACCAAATTTGAACCACATGCTCCTAAACCATGGTAGAATACATATGTACTTTAAATTCCTCTTTTGATGATAAAATTTTATATTTTTCAATTTAGTCCCTCTTTTTTTTAATAATTTGCTTATTTCTTCAATTCATCCTTTATTTAAAACTGTTTTTACCAAATTTGAGCCACATGCTCATATACCATAATATAATACCTATATAACTTCAATTCTTACTTTTTCACTAAACATGTACTCTCTTTTTTATTTAGTCCTTTAACTTTGCATGTTACTCAATTTGGTCTTTTGACTACAATTGTTTGCAAATTCTTTCTTCCCATCAATTATTTGACTCCTTTATACTCTCATTAATATTTTACCCTCAAAATACTTTCTTTAAAATATAATATCATGGATATATTTTATAATTTTAGATTGTATTTGATATATTAAATAACATTATAATGTGAAAAGAATAATATATATATATATATATATATCCTATATGATTAGGGAAAGTCGAAAAATTGGAACAAATTCTTGCCATAATATTACAAATAGTTATAATAAAATTAGTAGAGAAACTCGAAGAAATTGACTCAAAAAAAATTTCAAGTTAAGTTTGAGTTATAAAATACAACTTGTCAACTCGAATAACTCAAGAATTTTTAAATCAACTCAATCGAATGCTCACCCTTAAGTGACTATTTGACAATGGCAAATGTGGTCACTGATGACTGGCGACAAATGATAATGGGGTTAAGATAAAATATTTTAGGGTTGTAGGATTTTTTAATTTTTAATTTGTTTTTTAATAAAAATAATATTATTATTAAGTTTTTTAAATAAAATTAAGAAATATAAAGATGATACTTATCACTTAATGATTTTTTAATGATCATTATTGCGTAAGCACCTAAAAAATATAACGTTGAAAATGTTAGACACCTACTTTTAGAAAAAAAATAAGAACATAAAATTAGTTTAGAGTATAGTTTGCATACTTATTTTTGCATTAAATCAAAATATAAACATGACACATGACACCTAATGGATTTTTTAACGATTAATATTGTGTATGCACCTAAAAGTGTAACGGAGAAAATATTAGAAAACTAAAAGGACGGATAAAACGTCAAACACCTATTTTTAATGAAAATTTATATAGTCATCTAAACTTAATTTAAGGTATAATTTGTACACTTGTTTTTGTATTAAGCCAATTTACAATAATATAATTGGGGTGGAGGCCCAAATGCTTTGGATCTAAGGCAAGCAGAGCACAACATATGCGGGGCAAGACATGCCTTCAAACAGAAATAACTAGACAGTGCCTAGTTTCTGACCCTTGCTTTTCTCACACTTCATTCTCTGTCTAAAAACATATTGTTTCATTTTTGTTGATTGAACAGGACCATAGATGAAACCGGGGCTGTTTGGTTCACGGATTTTTGGATTCTTGAGAGGAAAAGATACCCATATTTGGATGAAACATATTCCCAATTGAAGGTAAAAAGTAAATACTAATATTTTTTTGGGTCTGAATTACTGGGAATGTTATTCCCACGTCTCACCTAGGTATTTATTTATTCTAGTTCTTAATGGGCTAAAATACCCTTCTCCACGTTTGCTTGCTTATGTGAATGAAAAAATTCAGCTTCTTCGATTTGGCGAGAGAAGCTCATAGGGTTCAATCGTCCCAAATTTACTTTAATCTCCTCTCTATATCCAAGGTTCTCTCATTCGTTCTCCATTTTTAGGCTTCAATTTTGATTGAAATTTAGTGGATGTGTTTCGATGACCACATTCTAACCGTTCATTGATTACTTCTTATTTTTTGCGATTGTTCGTTACAGAATTGTTCCTCTAATATTTAGGTTTTAGGGTATGGATTGATTTTTGCTTCTAAATTGTGATACGGTTGCGGTGGATTTTTTGGGGTATTTTCTTTAAATATATGTGAAGTTCAATAATTTGGACTGAATTGATTGTGTTGCTCTATTTGATACTCGTTCGCATGATTTATGTTATGTTATATGAGTAATTTAAATGCTTGTGTTCTTTCTTTGAAATTCATATTTCTTTTTCTTTTTTCAGAGTTTAGAGGGTTCCAGAAAATGCAAGGAGGCAGAGGTGGAAGAGATCCTTTCTTTAATTTTGGTGGTGACCCCTTTGGGGGCTTTGGTGGTCCAAGAGAATTCTGTCATGAGAAAGCTAAATTCAAATGGTAAGGTGGATACATGCAACATGTTAACCGAACTGAAAATCGAGGTTTACTTATCAGCTTAAAGCTCTTTCCTTTTATTTGATAACACAGTTCAGTTTCCTTTGCTTTTGCAGTAAGTTGGTCCTTATGTATAGATCATATATCAGGAGGCTTATGATGCTGCTCTCAGAATAGGTTCTGCCATGAGGAACCAAAGTTAGCCAGTTTAAACACAATTATTATTAACAGAGGAAACATTTACGGTCACATTTGTAGGGAGACCGATACGGTATATACAGGTCCAATTGTCCGGATTGGATCATTGCCATGGAGGTGTATGGAATTGCAATTGAGACGATAACCACTTGTTCAAGTCACTATCACAACTTTACAAGCTTATATTGTATAATTTGTTTGTTTGCCTTTCTTCTACAAGCTTGTAACAGTCAAGCTGTAACATATGTACCTCTATATGATTCTCTTGGAAATTCCATTACTCTATTTACTGTTCAAGCTTCATTATTTAATTCATTTCGAGTTGATAATTTATCTGGTTTACGTTGCTGCAGGTGCTAATGCAGTGGAGTCCATCGTCAACCATTGCAGAAGTTTAAATAGCCTTTGTTCAAGAGAACAAACTCCCTGCTGTAAGTTGTCATTGCAAAATGAAGCAATGTGGTCATTAGATAATGTTATATGAATTTTGCTTCCTCCGATTGCAGGCAATAATTCTTTTTTTTTCAGCTGCATTTCATTTTAAGTTTTGATTCATATTATGTTTTTTTCATCCTGGACAGATCCTATTATGTGTTCCAGCATGTTGTTCTTACATAAAAAGTAAGTCCAGATTCCATTAATTAGGAGCTTTGAAATTAAGGTTACTTATTTTCCACAACAAAATCTCATCAACTGAAGTATTTATCTTCTTTCTTCAGCTATTGTCATCTTTGCAAATGTTTCCAACAAGCAGAAGAAGGAAGTCGAAGAGCTCGGTGTGTCGCTCATTTCATGGAAAGAATTCTCTGAGCTGGTAACATGTTTAAACTTCCACCGGTTAACTTTTGAGGTGGAAGAATTCTCTGAACAAATTTAAATTTTGAGTCTTTTGTACTTTGGATTATGATGAGAATATTTTTTAGGGTCATTCTGTCATGAGAAAGCTGAATTCAGATGGTAGGGTGGATACAATACAAACCTTGCATAATTTGAATGAAGGCAAGTTTGTGTTACATGCAATAGAGTGTTGTTGTATATTTGTTGATAAAAGTAGATTAACTGGTCCAATGGCAGTTTAAAGGTAAATCTTCTGAATTGGTGAATTTTCCAGATGAACTTACTTGTTTTGAAGAATCTTGGAATGGAAAAGCCCAAAAGTATTTGCCTGTTTGGTCTGAGAGTTTTATTGGCCATGATACCATAGGTAATATATGTCTTACTACAATGTTTTTCCCTTGTAATTTTGCATCACGGAATAAGGGGAAAAAGGCAAGACTGGTTGCCTCGTTTCTTCATTTAGTTTTTTTTTATTATCTCAGTTTTTCACTTTACAAATTTATAGTTGGTGTAACGGCCTGAATAATATTAAGGTAATACTTTTTTTCCCATCCTGTAACCTCGAATCATATATTTTGCTGCAATTATTGTCTCAGGGGCTAACAGCAGTGGATAAAACAGGCAGACAGGTCAGAGAGGATGGGCACTTCCCTCAATTGAGCATTCTCAGACGAAAGGGAGGGTGATGCCGGATGCAAGAGATGGGGGAGGGCCCTCACGCAGCCAGCACTGTACAAGGACGAAAAGATCAACAGATTTTGAAGATGAGAGTTTTCGCACTCAAGGGAAGCGAAGGACCTAAGTCGGAACACACCGACTAGATCCTGCGGTAGAGGGCATTGCCTTTTCTCATATATATAGTTTTGTATGCTTGGTTGTTGCCATCTTTTAGAGCTTATCTTTTCTCATATATATAGTATTGTATGATGTGTCTGTGGCTGTGGCTGTCCTATAGCTGAAGGGGTAGCTAATGCAGAGAGCTTTAGACAATTACTACAAAAACATGTTGTTAAGGTATAATCTCGATTCTCCGGATTAAACATTGCAATTTGACATAAGCAAATGCTTTGCTTCACTTTCTACTGAATTTTATTGTTGTGGCAATGTAATTTTGTGATTGGCTTCACTTTCGACTACACTTTGTGTTTGATTCTCACATTAAAGTGTGAAAGTTGATACTGTCAAATCAAAGATTAACGTAAAACTTTTAAAAGAATAACAAAAATTAAATTAATATAATTTTATATATGAATAGTAGTATCGATACTCCTTTGACAATATCGATACCGTTGTTTTCCAATGGTCAAAGTTTTGAATTGTTTGCAGGAAGTATCGATACCAAGTGGTATAATATAGATACTACAAGGCTCCTAGCAGCAATTCAAGTAATACAAAAAGTACTAGAAAAAATGATTTAGATAATATAAATATTATATGATTTTATAAATTAAAAAGTAAAAATATTATTATTTTTTAATACTAATAATAATATATTTTATAATTAATAAATTAAAAATATTCTCTAAAGTCATCTTTGTACATTTTAGTAGGAGTAAAATGGTTCATCTATTATAATGTTCATATGCTTATTTAGTTAAATGTTGATGTAAAATTTTAATATATGTTTAGATAAATTATGTAAATTTTAATATTAATTAAAATTAAAATAATGTATGATATATTTAAATAATAAAGTAATATATTATCGATGAATTTTTATATAAATAATTTTCATTTAAATATTTAGAATTCAACTTGTTAAAAAATATAGAACAAGGACAATTTAGTAAAATATACATTACAGTAATATTTTATTCCTTCAACCAAACACTGTAATCTTATATTCCTGTCAAACAAAGCAAACACAGTAATGTAACATTCTCAATAATGTTATATTCCGATAATCTTATTCCCGAAAGTAATATTACATTCCGTGAACCAAACGCACATCAGCACCGAAAAGAAAGGTCTTTTCCGATCAAGTTATCATGGATAGGGTGAAAACTTCAATCCCATGCAAACTATGACGCCAGCCACCAAAATGTCAGATTTAATGTAAATTACACAAATGGTATAATGTTTGAGTAAATTTTTATTTTTTTAAGTAAAGTTTCAAAAGTAACAAATCAATCATTAATATTATCAATTTATTACAAATTGGTGTTGGAATGCACAACTGGACCATTTAAAACTTACTTGGATTGGGTTGACCGTCACGCTAGAGAGTCAAATGTTTTTCAAAGATAGGGTGTGGATTAAAGTCAACGATGATTCTTCTTTTGGTTCATCTCCACTGTCCTTTGGTTTGACCACCAGTTGCTTCCTCTCCTTCGATAACCATTTGATAAAATTCATGCTGCACACCAAAGTCTCCTTGGATACCTCCACTGTCCTAGGATTGTTTCACCTTCTCCTTCCATTGTTGAACCCATCAATCAAAATAACAAAACATAGAAAGCCATAGTTTTCGATGAGATGATTAACAAGAAATTGCAAATTTGGGTTTGTAAGGTGAAAGAATCGATGAGAACATACAATGTTTCTTCGAGGTTCTCCCATGGAGAAAAAGGAGTTTGATAATAGAGGCGTTGACAACGAGGAAGAAGGAATAGGTGAGAAGAAGCGTGGAAACGGAGAAACATATGGCTTGGGAAAATTTTAAATTAAGAATCGTCAAGAAATCTAAGGAATAAGGGAACCCGAAGCTTGAAAAAGGGTTCTTCTTCGTCAGCTTCAATTTAATCTTCTCATTCTTCCTTTTCTGCTTCAGCTTCTTGTTGCTGCAAGTCTTCAATGGTGAATTCATTTTTCTTCCAGGGGTGGCTTTCTAATATCATCAAGTGAAACTTCAATAAAAAAATTGTTCTTTTAATGTTGAATCTTGTTGGGTTTCTTTTACTACATTTTCACGTTCTTGATCTTAGGATTCTACACAGGGATAACACATAATTTTAAATTTTTAAGGGGCGACTGTCCTACTCGTCTCCTTCAATCCATCCTTGATTCTACACTTGTTTCTTCTACAAGTTTGGTACTTTTATCCTTCACCAAAGCATATTCAACCCCTACTTCAACTTTTGAGATTTCTTGTTCTTCATTTGCTTCATAAGAAACAAGCATTTTGCTAACTTCACTCATGTCTTCGTGTTTCATTTCAACTTCCACAATATCCTATTAGACTAGCCCTTCTTTCTCTTTCGGTTTCTCTTCACGTTCAATCCCAATCTATTTTGCTTCTTCATCTTCTTCATGTTCATCTTAAGGGACTGTAGATTATCATATACTTTTCGGTGTGACGGTCAACCATGTCCAAATAAGCTTTAAACGATTCAGTTGTGAATTTCTTCATGCTTGTTAACGGCAGGTGATCAATTTATAATAAATGAATAACTTGAATGACTGATTTATTACTTTTGAAACCTTAGTGGGAGAAAACAAAAATCTATTCAAACATTAGTGAAATTTTTGTAGTTTATCCAGAAAATACATTTGAAACAACTGGATACGCGGAGAAACTCGTGTTTTTCAATCTCATGCACATATCTCTCTCCCCTTTCCCTCGTGTTAAATCCCTTGAACAACACTTGTTACTTAAAAAGGATCGAAATTCAAATTTGTTTCCTAATTTCATACCAATTACGGACTCAATCGAATCTTTTATATACTCAAACGCTCCATCTGTATCTTCGTCTTCGTCGTTTGGCGATGGAAAAAGCCGGTGTAGCTGACATGGCGCCACCATCGTCGGTCTCTCTTTCCCCGTTCGCTCCTTGCCCTCGACGCCCTCTCAACCAACTTTACAAAGCGCAGCCGGCCGGTTGTTCCTTCTTCTAAGCGGTTGTCTCGGCTTTCCCTACAGGAGCACCTCCTGAATGCCGAGGAAGCCAGCTCGGCTCGAGCTATAGGAGGCGGGTTGGGCCTAGAGGAGGCCGTGGCCTGGGAGCTATTTAGTCCGGTTGAAAGGTTCTTGATCGTGGCGGTGATCGGCGTGGCGACTGTTGAGTCTAAGAAGAACTGGTTGATTTGCCAACTCAAGAAATCGGTTGAGCTAAGGGTTTGTTTTCTGATTTACCGTTTAATTTTAGTAGCAATTGTTTGCGTAATTTTTCAATTTAGTTTTAATACTGTTACTCTCTTGGGTGTTCTTATTTACTAATCCATGGAGTTTTAGCGTTCAATTAATTCACAATGATTTCTTGTTAATCTAATGAAGTTTTGATTCCGTTATGCATGCTTAAGAAGATATTTGGTGTTAAATTGCTTTCTGATTACCTACATACATATCTCTATCATCAGTTACATATTCATTTGCTTGAGTCAATTACTCTGTAACAGATACTTATCTATGGACTATGGTCATTGAACACTTAAAATTCAAAATCAGATGTCTTGGATTCGATTATTTTGCTTTCAATGAGTATAAAAACTCCAATCTCCCGGTTAAACTTTGAATCGAATTCGAACTTTTTGCAATTCATTTAAGTGCAGAATTATCCTGAATCAATCTGATTTGATTTTATATAAATGAATTTTCAGGATGAGGTGCTTTCAAGCATGCAGCAGAAGGTAGACAGTCTATGTGAACTGCTGAATAACACCGAAGAGAAGCCGGGAACACGGGCGAAAACTGAAGTAGAATCTTCTTTGAATGGAACTTTTGGTTCTGGGAGTGTAGAGGTTGGTGATTGTTGTTGTTGGATTTGCTATCAGCATCGAGAACAGTTTAAAGTAAGAATCCGATTTATGGAAGTTACATGTGAATTATCTTCTCTTTTCACTTGATTGAACTGGTTTTATTCTCCCTTGTTCTCTGATGTGGGGTAACTACATTGTAAAAAACTTACAAAAACTCGGGTGGGAACGATATGGCATTGTCAAACAAGACAGAGCACGAGGAGCGCTGCATGTCAGATTTGTCGGACTGGGCTTCGAACGTCACATCTGCATCAGAAATCCAGGTGATGGAGAATTTAGGTCATTTGGATTACCGGAATCCCATTTTATTTATTGTCAAAGGCTTCAACATGTTTTTGGTTTGATGTTGTGCATGCTCATTTGCAGCTGAACAACCTTGCAATAGAACAAGATATTTACAATCTTAAGAGGGAATGTGAAGAGAAGGATGCAATCATAAAGGAACTAAACACTTCTGTCCAGTCATCCAATGTGGCTACTTTGAAGGTAATTTTCATTTTTGTTCACCTTTTTCACTTGCTATTCTTCTCCCTCCGGTTTCTTTGAGTGTAAATGTGTTCTGATAACAGAGGGTATCTGAGTTGGAGGACATTATACGCAGAAAGAACACGATAATTACTCGATTGAAGAAGGACATGGTGGTTCTAGAACAAAAGGTGAGTACTTCTTATCAGCTCTATTTTAAATTAAATAAATTTGAAAAGAACTATTCATACCTGTATTTACATGCAGATTGTCCAGCTGACCAGGCTTCAAAGAGTTCCTCCTCTACCTCAAGTCCAAACTACTGGCAAATTCCACCCATGTTGGATAACCTCCTCTACGACATGGATAGTACCACTAGCCCTTCCTCATCTGATTTGGATTCCTCCCAGAAGAACGGCCCACAAACTCCGCTTTCCAAAGCCGAGGAAGTTAGTTTCGAGAACGGTAACTCCTCTTTAAAGGGACAGCAGAAATCAGCACCTGCAAAAGTTTCAAGCTCTTTTATGAGACAAACTGATTGCCATTCGATGCCTGAACCAGTTACTCCAGTAAGGGAAATATCGATGAATCACAAGTCTAAACCACCTTCTTCGAGGCAAAGGCAAGTGTCGACCAGTCGAGATTCGAAGAGAATTAAGAAGCAAACTCGAACTGTATCTAAAGATTTTACTTCGAAGAAGAGATGGTCATAGTAAGTACTACTTGGAAACTTGATGGTTTAGAAGCTTGAAGTGGCAGTCTTGCCTGAACCATCTTGTTGAAGCATCTATATGTTCAGAAAAGTTTTATGTTTAATTTTGTTACTTGTTACAGAAGGTAAGTCTCGTGAATTTCTAAAGTTATATTTAATGGACCTTTTATTTTTTTACTTAAATTAAATCCAAATTCACTTTTTTCTGGGTTAAAGCGTAAATTTGCCATGACTGACTAGTGACTACAGGTGAATATTGAAATTTACAATTATAGAATTTTGATGAAAATTCAACGTATCTTTATAATTTAAGAAATATCCACTTATTCCATTAATTTTTTTATTTAAATATAAAAGCAATTACATTCTATTATTTATCTATACATTTTTCATTTATAAATAGAAAACAGTAAATGATTAACTATATTAAAAATTATAAAATTAAAATTTTAAGTAAATCATAACAACTTCAAATAAAAATTAAGTATTTTACATTATTAAATTATTTTTAAGTAAATCATGTTTAATTATATATTTAATTTAATTGTAAAATAATTTGTGAATTTAAAAAATGTCATATTAATATTATTATTAGCGATTTATAAAAGTAACATTTAAAAATTATATATTTAGTTGCACAAACCAAATGGTCTTCCTGACAAAAGAATTGTTGTTATTCCTTGATGATCCTGATTTCAGCACTATGGATGCTAGCGATGTGATCGTTCAATGTCGAAAAGTTTATTGATATATTTGAATAGATATTATCTTGTACTTATCCCATATTAATAAAAAAATTATATATATAGTTGCACAAAAATAAAATTTGTATATTATATTATACATTAAATATACCAAATTCATATATAATTGTGTTTTTTTAATTAAGTATATGAAATTTATACACGAACTAACTTACCTCAATAGTTAAAGGAATCGTTATTGTTCTTAGAGGTTTTAGGTTTGAACACTAGCGATTACAATAAGGTGATTGAGCGTACATTAACAAATGATTGAAAGTATTTAGAACATATATTATTTAGTAATCAACTTAGCTTAATAAAAAAAAGTATATCAAAATTTACCTTGTAATCACTTAATTTTATACGTAATTTTATTTTTAATTAGCACAAGAAAAACCTAAGCGTAAATTACTGTCATGACCCGGATCGCCGACTCAAAAATTATCCACAGCCATTGATGAATATAATATACTCTAGAATAAACTATACTATTAGTATTCAAGTTATTATTTTTGTTTTGTTTTAGTTCTTAAATTTTATTTATTTTAAAATTATATCTAACATTTACTTTTATTTTATTTTAATACTCTCCATTAAAATTTCACTATATTTTTTATGAACAAATTACATCATTCATCATTTAACTATCTTTTCATTCTATTTTAGTCTCTAAAGTTTAAAATTTTTTAGTTTAACTACTTAACCTTAAAATTACTCATATTTTAATCACTCTAATTTATATTATTAATAATTTTTTTGACATGACATTTTTATTATTAATTTGTTAATATATAATTAAAATAAAAAAATAAATTTAAAAGTTAAGAGTGATTAAATTAGGAGTAATTTAAAATTTAAGTAATTAAATCAAAAAAATAAAACTTTAGTGATCAAAATAAAAATAAAAAGATAGTTGACTGATGAATAATATCATTACCTATAAAAAGTGTCACATACAACTCACCCATTAAGTTTCTAAATGCGATGTACTAAAATAAAATAAAAAGTAAACATTAAATATAATTTTAAAATAAATAAAAATTTAAGTACTAAAACAAAACAAATTATTTTTGCCATTGTAAATTTTCGAAGTTCCCGCGCGCTCTCTGAAATTTCTTATATATTGCCAAATCCATTTCCCCTTCGCATCGATCACCAAATTCCGTTGATTTTCTTTGCATCCAAACACATTCTTCCGATCATCGTCAGTTAACCGATAGCTCGCACAAAGCAAACAGCCAGGAAATCAACAGGAGGGAAGGTGCCACGTAAGCAGCTGGCAACCAAAGGTGCCAGGAAGTCGGCTCCAGCCACTGGAGGTGTAAAGAAGCCACACCGTTTCAGGCCTGGGACGGTGGCGTTGAGGGAGATCAGGAAGTACAAGAAGAGTAAGCAGTTGTTGATCCGTAAGCTTCCGTTCCACAGGCTGGTGAGGGAGATCGCTCAAGAGACGGATCTGAGGTTCCAAAGCAGGGCCGTAATTCACTTGTCGAACAGTAAATGTGGCACATAATCCCCTAATTCAGTAGAAATAACCATAGAACTTCCAATATAAATCGACACATGTTGAACAGATCCTTAATCACTTGCAAAGAAACAAAAACCAATTCTACAAGGAAGGTTGTGTTCCAAATTTAAATGCATAAAGTACCCAAAAATGCATCCCTAGAAACTTCTAAAACACACACACATGGTCTCAGTTGATTCATGTAAATATATGACAACAAAGAAAACAAACACTGGCCTCACCTTTTCATCTAATGCCAATAAGGGAGGGGAGGCTACAAAATTTAGGGTTGAACCTCAGCATGTGATATCCATTTCCTAAAATCAGCGAAGATTTTAAACTTTAGTAGTACTTGCTTCCAAGCTGTTCATTCCCTCTGCCTCCAGCTCCTTAACTGCCGTTATAAGACTTCGGGTGATTCCGTTGAGGTATAAGCCGTTCTCCTTCATTTCATTGAGTAGCTTCTCGGCTGTTTGCCAATCCAAGACCTTTAAGCAAAGAGACTGTATCAGTTTATTGTATTCGTCAACATTAGGTTGGACCCCAAAATCTTTCATTTCAGCCAACAGCTTCAATGCCTCATCAAACCGTTCAAGTTTGCAGTATCCACGAATTAGAGTGTGATAAGTCACTGGAGTCAGCTTCATATGCTTTTTCTTGGCTTCCGATAATACTTCGCCAGCTTGATCCATTTGGCCACTTTTTGCATAACCACTCATCACAACAGTGTAGGCGTAAACATCAGGTTTCAAACCCCTATCCTCCATCAATTTCATCACCTCCTTTGCTTTGTCCATACCTCCAACCTTCGAGTAGCCACCAACAACTGAATTAAAAACTGCATTTCCAGGAGGTGGGCGCTGTTCAATCATCTTCAGAAGAACCTTTTTCGCTTCATCAACATCCTTCATCCTACACAGACCACGAACAACAGTTGAGAATGGCTTGATTGCATATTTTCTTGGTTCTCCGGAGAAGCCGTCCAACATCTCCAAAGCTAACTTCACTGTTTCATCCTTCTTACAGAGTGAACTGATCAAGAAATTAACAGAAGACCGAGGAAGATTCTTGTTTTTCCCCTCAGCCGACGAATAAACAACGTGAGCTTCCTTAGCCTTACCCCCTTTACAAAACCAAGATATAATCTTTCCCAATCGTTCATCATCAGGTAAGCTCCCTGCATCAAGCATCTTTTCACATACAGACCAAGCCCAATCATAAAAAGACCGTCGACACAGAGCTTCAATGGTGAAATAATAAGTTTCCTCATTCGGGATACACCCGAAATCCGAGAATTTATCAAACACCTCCACAGCTGCCTTTCCTTTACCCAACTTGGAAAACAGAGCAATCAACTCATTAAGAACATCAACTGTCAACCTCAGTATCTTTCTCCCCAATGTCCTTAACCAAATCCCATAAATCATAGGCATTCTTCATTTTAACATCACTGCAAATAACCTTAACAAGGGACTCAACAACAGAGGTAGTCACTTTAAACCCAGGTTTACTCGTTACCCATTTGAAAAACCTTAAGCAAATTCTCACCCAAAATATATGGAGTCTGAAGAACTTTGACAACAAAATCTTCATGCAAATCCAAAACAATAGCATTAAGACTAGGCTCCAAAGACCCATCAACTTTACTTTGCAACAAAGACAACACATTTTCTAACTTGTTAGCATCAAGCTCATAATCGTGGGTTTCTTCTTCCATGTCGTTTTTGGAATCTCCAGGGACAAAACTGTCTATCTGGGTCTCATCACCGGCGAGACCGTCAAAAGAGGGAACTTGGGCGGCGTTAGTTTCAATCCCAGCAATAAAATTCAACTCGGGATCCCGCGATTCATCACTTGGATTGGCAGATGAATGGGAGAAAAAACGATGGAATGGAGAGAGTGATGTTTTAGGGAAGGAATTGAAAGGTTTACGAGTTTCAGATAGAACCTGGTTCGTTTGGGAAGCACGTAATCCCCGTGCTACCAACTGCGTGGACCTCGCCGCCATTGATCTCCACATCGTTTGCTCTGCTAACTCCCAAACACTGTAAGTAAAGTCTGAATAACCCTAAGGGGGCGTTTGGATGTAGGTATTTAAGATTTTCGGTAGGAATATTTTTTTCCTAACCAAGTATACTCATGTTTGGTTGAGTATCCTTTCCTAATTCAAGGTAATATTTTTTTTTCCATCAGTGAATATGCCTGGGAATATTATTCCCTCACACCCGTTAGGTATTTTTTCATTCCGTGTGTTAAGGGCTAAAATACTCTTTTTTTTTCTTGTTTCCATTGCGATATCTTTCTATGTCTCTCTGTCATTTTCGTGATCGTTTACCATCCATTTTCGTGTATTAAGGCCTCTGCAGTCATTGTCCCAAGCGAAGCTTGTCGCCTGTTTGCAGACACCAACATGTATGTCTCTCTTCTCCTTCGCACTCTGCCATTTCTTGATCCAAAACCATCCATTTGTGTGTCATTTTCGCAGCAACATACATTTTTGAAATATTTAGAATTTATCTCCGTTGGGTGCCATTTTCTTCTCTGTTTGTTGTTGTTGTTGTTTGTTTCTGATTAAAAAATCCATCGACTGTTGGGTGTCATTTTCTTCTCTGTTTCTTCTCCGTTGGGTTACAGTTGTCTCATTCGTAAGGAATAAAAATCCTTTTTTCTTCTTCTTGGTTTTTTAATATACTTTTGTTGTCTGGGTCTATGAAAATGTAGGATGAAGATTGCTTTCTAATCAAAGCAAGTTGATGTTTAAGCTTTACTCCAACTTTCTTTGGTTTGAGGCAAATCTAAAATCTTAGACCTGGCCATGTGAGATTGGAGATAAAATTTTATATTTTTCAAATCAGTTCCGATTGCAAAAGCAGTAATTGTTGCATACCCTGGCTATAAAAAGTTTAAAAAAAATAATATTATATCAGTAAAAAGTTAGAGAAGGTGGAGCAGATTCCAAAATTTTTATCCTTAAAATTGTAACCGCAACTGGGATTAGGAACTTTTGGAACCCATCTTCTTTGGTTGATTCAATTTGGTCTATTTGAGGTTTTTCAATTTTATTTATTTATTTATTTTGCTTTCTTGACGTGTAGCAATCCTTTGCATTTTTGTGACACCATTAGGACCATGATAAGTGGTAAGATTACATTGAACATTATATTAATCTTAATCTTTAGGTAACTCCAAAACATTATTATTAGAACTGATTCCCTTTAGTTTTGTAAGGTTCTACTCCCCTCAAATGTAGTTTCTTGAAAGTGCTTGTAGGAAATCATTATGGTCAGATATAAGCAGTAAACATTTATCATCTCTAAAATATGCTTATCTTGAATGCTAATTTGTATGGAATATAAATCTGCTTATCATGTATGGAATAGAGTGGATATTCACCTTACTGTCCAGCCAGTAATGCAACATGTATTAGCTGAAATATTTGTATCTTGAATAATCTCTCTTCAATTGCTCAAGTCCAATTAATTTAGCCGACATATAAATTAAGATGTAGATTATTCTATTCAAGGCATTAACAACCTTCTATTTACTTTCTACTTAAATTTTCATTATGGGTAGTGTGGTTAAGTATGTCTTTCCAGGTTCAACAATCTTGTCATTTTTCCTTGCCACATTTGGGCCACTATCATATACTGTTGAACAAGAAAATAGCAAGTGGTAGTCATAGGCAAAATGCTACCCCACATATCATCTTTATATACAAAGTTCCACAAAACTGCTAGTAAAAATCAATATGTAGAATTAGGTGCAGTGGTATGATTCTTGCATAGGGTACAAGAGGTCCCAAGTTATATGACCATAAAACTGGGAATTACGTCAACTCCAAAAGTAGAATAATATAGAAGCTATTCCTTAAAGCTTTATATATAGGAAACCACAAGTAAACAAGTGGAAGTGTGGTCGTTAATATTGTCAAAACGATTTTTTCTTAAAAGGTGAAAAAAGTGAGATTTTAAAAAACCACATTAATTCTTAATTATCTCTTTTTAATTTAAAAACAAATGCGATTTAAAAGACCTCTCGTTTCGAGAATTTTTGGATTTCCTTTACGATCGAAAAATACGGTTCGAAGAGTCGCCACCAATCTTTGATTAGGGTGTGATTGGGCACCCAAAAATGGTTTGTCATTTTAAATAAAAATTAATTTTAATTAAAACAACAAATTAAGGTCTACGTTACCAAAATCCAAGCTCGGGAGTCGGTTACGTGCGGGGAATGATTAGCACCCCCACAACGCCCTAAATCGGTACCTAGCCGATTAATTAACGTCTTTGCAATGAACTTTATAAATTCAAATTTAATTTGATTTTTGATCCCATTAAACAAGGATGTAAATTTAAAAACATTCAAAAGCACTCAAATAAATTAAATTAAAATTACCGAGTCGTTTTAGAAAGATAAAGAATGTTCTATTATTTACAAATATCGAGACCAGATCTTAAAGATATAACAACCTTTTCTCGATATATTTAAATAAACGAACATTTCTTTTTCTCTCGTTCCCAAATTTTAGGTAACGAATCAATTTTTTGGTTTCACTTTCGGGATACACTTTTATTTTAAAATCATTAAAAGCAGACCTCAAATCAGTTATGACTGCCCACTTCAACAATTTTAAATTAAAAGGGTATTACCCTTAATCTAATTATGTGATATGTCGAGTTATGCGCGTGAGGCTATCATGCAAATTATGCAAAAAGTGGATGTCATGCCAAATTTAATTAAACAACATTAAAAGTATCATACAATGTGACATGCAAAAATTATATACATATGTTTTAATTAAAAATCATAAATTATGCATATTGACATATTATGAACACATGTGACCTAAATACAAAAACAAAATCATAACATGCTAAACTATAAATTTAAAAAATGTATATATACATGTTAAAATAAGGACTAAATTTCAAAAATGTAAAATTCAGCATACTACATAAATTCAAACCATTTTAACATGAAGGTCAAATAATTCAGACCCTAAGTTGCTAATAAACCATAAGCATGCATAGGACTGAAATAAAAGAACATAAAACAACATATCAAATACATAAACTATACGAAGTACAAACAAATAAACTAGCCTAATCTAATGTAAACTAAAAGGAAATGAAGCGTAAATTAAAAATATATATGTATATATCACTAATTAAAACAAGCGCTAAAACGAAAATGCTTAAGTTATGAGGGCCTAAACCTAATCTATCCTTAAGGTCACGGTGGCTAACAATAATTAACCCTAAAGTTTTAATATATAACCTAACTAAAATTAAACCTAATCTAATGTAAACTAAACTTACAGCCGCATCAGACTTCTTTCTTCTCCTACTCTCCCCTCACGCTCACACCAGAGAAGAAAAAACTACTGTCGCTTCCTGAAGGAAATAAGAGAGACCCATAGCGGACATTTTCATAAGAGAGAAAAGGATTCGACTTTGGGCTACTAGCAGGAGACTAAGGAAGCGCCTTCTTTAGAAAATTCTAAGAAACCGTTTTGTGGAATGAAACCAGAAGACGATGGAGGGAGTAGGTTATGCGAATTGTTGAAGCTGGAGCAGTTGGGTCTTGAGATTGGTTCAAGGGAATAGAGAAAGTGCTCGAAGCAAGCTTTGGCCTTGAACACAAGGGACTACAAAAGGATTTCAGGACTAATGGCCAAACGTAACAAATCCATGTTAGGCAAAACGAAGCAAACCAAGATTAAGGTAATCTCATTTACACTTCTGCTAGTTTCAAATAAGGAACAATAAAAATGAAATAAAATAAAGTTTCAGAAGACGAATTAGAGAAGGACCTTGGAAATTTACTTACTTATACTCGAATGCTAAAAACAATTGACTTGTTTCTATTGCTTGCTTCCAATGAATCAGGGCCAAGGAAATCCCTTTGTGACAACACTGTTTGATTTTTGAATATGGGAAAGAAAATTTTTACATCACTGTTCTTTTCTCTTTGATCTATTGTGTAAAAAAAAACCAATGAAATCTTTGTTCTTCTCGTAATGGTCATTCTCCGCTTCAATCTTCTTGCTCGTCTCCTTAGTTCATTCCCCCCTTTTTTTCTGTCGTTCCCCCCGTAATCTTCTCGTTTTCAGTGGTTAAATGTCCCACGTTTCTGGTAGTTAATTCCCCACTATCTGCTTATTTCAACTGCTAAAGCCAACGTCCATCTTTTTTTTCTACACACAGCTGCTGTCCATTGGTCTTGAGATGGGCTTCCAACAGTCTTGGGCTCATTTGGGCTCTCACTGATCCACACTGTAACTCGTACTAGATCTAGAACTCGAACGGAGTCCCCGGACGAAATCGATCATCTACAGCTGCCCCTCTTTGCTCATTGTCGTGCAACGAGAATAGAGCAAAGAGAATAGATGATCAAGTTTGTCCGACCATTAGAACTTCAAAAGATTAATCCGCTTCTCTGCTATTTCAGGATAAGTGAGACTTGAAAAGATCTTCAAATGGCGGGTCTGCTCCCTATTCTTTCAGGGAGTATAAGACTCAAACAATCTTCGGCAAACGTGTCTGCTCCCTATTCAGTCAGGGAGTATAAAACTTGAACAATCTTCAATAAAACGGGTCCGCTCTCTATTCCTTCAGAGAATATAGAACTCGGAAAATCTTCAATAAACGGGTCCGCTCCCTATTCGTTCAGGGAGTATAGAACTCGAACAATCTTCATAAAACGTGTCCGCTCTCTATTCCTTCAGAGAGTATAGAACTCGAACAATCTTCAACGAACTTGTCCGCTCCCTATTCTTTCAGAGAGTATAGGACTCAATCTTCAACGAACTTGTCCGCTCCCTATTCCTTCAGAGAGTATAGGACTCAATCTTCAACGAACTTGTCCGTTCCCTATTCCTTCAGAGAGTATAGGACTCAATCTTTAACAAACGTGTTCGCTCCCTATTCCTTCAGAGAGTATAGAACTCGAGCAATCTTCATAAAACGGGTCCGCTCTCTATTCCTTCAGAGAGTATAGAACTCGAACAATCTTCAACAAACGAGTTTGCTTCACTACTCTTTCGTGAAGGCTTAAGATGATTTGC